CCGGGGGGGGGGGGGAATCAAGACAAAAGCATTTTCCTAAAATAAGGCAAAGATTTATTAATTTTGTGGAACATAATAAAGAAAAGTGCTGTACTCCCACAGGAAACCAGGAGAGGGTGCTATATCCTCACTATGCTGAAGTACGGTATCATTAACACTGTGGTTCTGAAATTTTTTTTGTTTTCACGTGGATGGAAAGTAAATTACTGTTGGGTAATAACTCATAAGCCTCTGGAGCACCTGCGAGTCTGAGTGTAGACAAAAGCTGTGAGCACTTCCACCAGACAGCAGAGTTTGTACAATTCTAATCCTGAAAACTAATTAAATTAATTAAATTGTTAGTTCTCCAGGCTTCTTAAAGGACATTCAAAGCTCTTCTTTGGAAGCCAGCTGACCTCTTACTGACATACTGACAATGACTTGAACTACAAATTTCTAATCTGAATTCATCACCCCATAAAACCTGTTTCCACTGATTTTCACTCCAGTTTTTGTGTAATTCTCATACTTCAGCATTTTCTCCCTCTTACCCTTTGTTAAGAATTGCTTCTTGACAGCCAGCCTCCCGCTGAGACCATTCTTGTGTCATGTCTTTGCTGAATGTTTTCCTATTTCTTAAGCACATGACTTTCAGGTACTGTTCATCTGCTGTCATGATTTTAGGTCTAACGCTTCTTCTTCTTTAGTCCTTGTTGAGAATTTTCATCTAATAGCTCATTTAGCCCAATTTAAAATTGGTTCTTTGCTAAGCTGTCTGTTATGTGGAGAAATCGCACTGAATCATCCCCTGAGTTGTGGGCCCTTTCCGTGCTCGAATGATTCGGTCTGTGTTAAATGGCTTAACAAACAAATAAAGAAAAACAGTTTTCTGAAAATTGGACTGCAACTAATTCCAAAGAAAAACTATTTCAGAAACTCAAATCCCACTGTACAGTGCATCAGTGCAGGAGCAATACTGTCAGTCTATACATCCCTTAAATTTGAGATGCATGCTTGTATGGATGTTCATAAGAGGGGCTGGTTATAGTCCAACCTACCAAACAGAAGATCCCTGAGTGCTTCTTTCCACCAGCTTGTGGAAGTGGAGGGTGAACATGATAAAGGCAACTGAGCACTGGTCCTAGAAAAAAAAAAGATGCTTAAAGATGTCACTTCTCCCTGTGAAAAATACTGTGTATCTTGTTCTGCTACTCTAAGCCAGTGAATAATAATCAAAACATGGCATGAATGCCTGAAGTAATTACCCTCCAGACACCGATGATGATGCCAGGCTGTAGCAACTTAAGCTGCACCAATTTGTCCTGGCCAATGACTTGCATGTTCTTAGTTAGAGTCTGCATGTCTAACTTCTCCATGAGGGACCTACAAACAAGTCTGACAGAGGAAGCAAAGACAGCAGTTGGTTTTACTGTGACAAGAGGCGAAACAAAGGGTGTAGATGGATGTCAGCTGCCTTTACCTCTTTGGGCTGACGCAGGCTAGCCTCCTGACACCGTACAGCTGAAGGGTGGAAATCTGCTGGTAGTCGGGCAAACGGTCTCCTCCGCTCCAGCACAGTGTCACTGAAGTCTCAGTGAACTGGGACCGGCTCTGCTCCAAAGTGCTCTCACGCCCTGACTTATCCATGACTGTCAGTTCCCAGGTGACGTTCAAGTTTCTAGAGTTAGAATACAGAATGTAGAATTGCAGGAACAGGATTTTTTGCAGTTTTGCAATAAAAGCAAGAGAGAGAGAAGAAGAGAGCAGGTGAGAGTGAAGCTAAGCATGGCAGGAGTTAACAGGTTCTTTGATACCAAATACCACATAAATAGTCCAAATGAATCATTGAACAAAAATATAATCCATCCATTTGTCTTCTAATTTATTACAGTGAAAATAATCGGGCAGTGTTTGGCAGCGTTGCTCTTTAAATCAGAAAAATTACAAGTTTATTAGCTGTTACATCTCATTTGTCAGCGGAGGGAAGTAGCAGGACTCCATTTAAAGCTGTTCTTGCTAATGAAATGATATGCAACGAATGAAATTAAAACTGCAGCTGTTGTGACGAATCTCTTGATCCAGTTCTGTCTAAACTGTGATTCAGGGCTGCCCCTACTGTGATGCAGCCGGCGCCTCGCTGAGACACCATCCAATATCAATTAGGTGGGGGAACAAAGCTAAAAACTGGAGCAGCCCAGGGGGCTCCAGCAGCTGACCCCAGGGATTTCACTCTGCACTGCCTGTATGCTTGACGTCTTGTGAAATGATTATTACCAAGGTAAATCGCATGCTCCTCATGGTCTCTAACAGACAAAAAAAAAGCCCTATAGGGAGTTGTCTGAGTCAGTGGGAGGAAGGCTGAGATGTGCGTGAATGCATATGTGTTCTGTGGATGAGGGGTTGGGGGGCTAAGTAATTTATTTCAACAATTCAGACAGCCCCTGCAAGGAACACAATTATTTCTACTTCCCCTCTGTACCACAGCGACTGCCACAGAACTCAATATTGAGTGCAGCACAGCCTCTAATCAGAGGTTATAAAAACACAGCAGAATCTGCAGTGGAGGTGGCGAGGGAGCTCTCCCCTGCGTGCTGGCATCCCCCTGAGCAGACATCACGTTCAGAAAGAGACCTCCTTCCTCACCTTTAATAAGAAACTGTCATTAAGTGTGACATCAAAAACAAACCATACTTTTTGTTTTTGATTACCAGCAGCTTGAACTATCCTCTTGTTGTGTTCTCCCCCCACCTCTCCAACCTTGAACTTTCTCTACAGCGAGGGTAGATCTCCAAAGTTTTGCTATTTGCTAACAGCAAACAATGAACAAAGGCTTCATACAGCTGCTTCCAAATAAATACCAAATCCCCGTTAGAGCACAGACACAGCACGGATCAACACACCTCTTTTCAACTAAAAGGATATAAAATTCACTATAAAAGTAGTTAACATGAGCATTTAGAGAAAGAATAATGACCTATTTTTCTTTCTAAATGTGTTTGAGTAGGTGATACATAAAGTAAATGGAAAACCTAATTCCTTTGAACTAAACTTGGGTTTTCTCTCTTTATCTGTCTCACACTTTACCTGAGGACCCACTCTGTTTGGCTGGGTAGCCCTGTGTGAATACTGATGAGTCCAAGCCGCCTCGTCCACTTGATCATGTCACATTCGGCTACAGTCTTGAAGTACAGCCTCTTATAGTAACCTTCGGGTCGATCCTGCACCTCCATCGTGGCCATCCTCAACAGAGATTTGTCCCTGCACTTTTTATTCTTGCTGAAATCCGCAATGTAAAGCTTTCTCCACAGAGCACTGCAATGACAGCATCAGAAGAGTGACCAACTCGGTCAGAAAGGTTACAAACCAGTCCAGTATCTCTAGTGTGATCATTTCTTACAGGGTGGCCATTCATAACCAAGAAAAAAAAGTTTATCAAAACATCAGCAGTGAAATTTCATGTTTTAATACGTTTAATAGTGAATTCTTCCATTATAGGAATAATCTTTTCTACTAAGGAGGAAACTATTTAACCCTGTGATGCCTGAAGCATGAAATCATTCCAGAAAGTTCTGATATTTTGGAAAACCTAACTGTTTATTGAACCTTTTGAAAAAAAAATTAAAGAAAGAAATTAATGTCAATTTGCATATAGTATAAGCTTCAGTTTGTATCATTTTTGCCACACTTTGTGCAAAAAAGAATCACACTGATGACCTGGAGCTCTCAAATACTCATGTATTAAATATGACACACTTGGCATTACAGACAACAGTGATCACCGAGTTCTTGGTATTCTTTGGTAGTTACTGGAGGACATTTGGGTTCTGATTGTGGTTCTGACCGACAACAAAAAAATCAATGTGTCAAGACTGTTGAATTGACCATAGGCTGCAATCTGGCTGGCTTTTTTACATTTCAGAATATGTCCTAAATGATATATAAATACATATTTTTATTTGTAGGGCATGTTTTTCACTAACGTGAAATATTTTAATGAACTAGACCTTTAATAAAACAAGTTTGTGCATCTACAGAGTGTCATGATCCTTGCCAAATCATGCAATCACGAAATCACAATTTTGAAATGTAAACTTTGTGCATTTGGATTGCCTCCAAAAGGTGGAGAGCTAGATGCTTCAGTACATAAGCTCAGTGAGCATCTCTAGATATGTGGCTTGAATTTCAGGCCAGATATCCAGAGATATGTGGCAGGATTAAAATTGGAGAATATAAAATTGGAGTAGAAGACCAGTGGAGCATAGCAGGTAATTTTTTCTAAATATCTAAAAAGAAACATGAACATGAATATCAATGCACCACATATGGGTGCCGCAGCTGAAGTTTTTATGTTTAAGTAGTTGAGGAACTTGGGACCACGCTGTAAAGTTTCCTCTTTCAAGGTCTAATGCTTTTTCTCAGAAAAACAGAAGAAGAATTGGGGCAAAAACCACAGAGCTCCCGTGCCTTGGACTCCTACTGCCTTAAAGGTTCTGCTGTAAGATTTGGAGGCATACTGTCCCTTTGCTATTGGATTAATTAACATAATCATGTATTTAATAAACTGTGGAAAATGCACTGACAAGATGGTACTTACTTGCTGTTGGCAAGCTGATAGAAGAGTTTATTGATGTGGTTTATGCAGCAAAGTGTGAAAGCATCCAGGTATGACAAAATCTTAATCAGGATCTCAGATGGCAGTCTATGGAAAAGGTAATTAGACATGACTACAAGGAAGTGACAGTGTGCCTTCATGCCTCCTACTGTTCAGATTTCAGTCTATGAGATAAATGTGGAAATCGTGTCATACACTTCTGGCAATAAAGTGAAACTACTTATCTCTATGTTCTGTTCTAGTAGATATGGTGAAAAAAACACACAAATATGTAAATATGTAAAGAACTCAGCTGAGATTTTTAGATCTAAAGGTCTAATGAAAGCCATCCAACCATCCATCCATCTATCCATCCATGCCTGCTAATTACAAATACTGCTAGGTTTGTTGGCTCACAGCTGTCCTGGTTAATGATGCCATTGCTGTCCAATTAAATCACTTGAGTGAGCAATAAATTCATCTTCCTATCACCTGCCTGCTCAGTCACTGTCATTTCACTACATATCAACAACCAGATTAAATTACTTCAAGAATAAATAAATTAAGAAACCAGATTGGGCGTTGTTTTAACAAGGCGAATGATTTCATACGACAGCTTTAAAGTTCAGATTATCCAAACAGCCATCCTCTCACTGACTAAATTCTTGCAGCTGTAATAATAGTTAGCAATAATAGATGTAACATGTGATATTAGAGCTCAAAAGTTCAGCTTAAGTCTACAGCCATGGCAGTACAGAGCGGTGCTTTGAGCTGCATACTACTGTTACCTACATGCTTACTTCATGCTCTCGTGATGACAGTGCTAACATGCTCATATTTTGTCATATGTTAGTATTTCTGTATTGACTGATTCATGCTAAATACAAATACACTGAGGCTAAAGGGAATGAAAATTGATTTTTCAGTTATTTAGTTAGAAATTAGAAAAAGCAACAAAGGAGACATGAGCATTTCTGCACCTCCCTTTTCTTCTTTGCATGGTAGAGTTTTAACTTGAAAGTGTGATGATAATTTTCAGTGATGTGGTGCTTTCAAGGCCAGTCTCCAATATCTGATACAAATAATTTAACAAAAATGATTTAAATAATTTAATTTATTTATTTATTCTTAAAATGTTACAATCAGATTTAACATGTGCATATAGTTAAAAATAAATAAATAAAGGGATCTGAAAAATATAATGTCTTTAGACCAACTGAATTTGGTCACAACCATGATTGGTATTTTTATTTTATTTTATTTTTCTGTATATTTGAATCAGTGAAAAGATTATGAAAATAAATCCGGGCTGCACTCCAAACCTCTAAGACTCTAACCATTGTTTAAAAAGGAAAGTCTGAGTGAGACAATTATTTCTGCTCGTTGAGGCGTTCAGACTAAAACAAATATTAAAAACAACGCTGTTGCTAAATATGAACGATTAGCTGTTTTAACAGAATCATTTTGGTAGTAGAGGCAGCAACAGTCTACTGACTGACCTGTTTTTCTTTGTTGTAACTGCCTACATTTAATGGGAAAGAATCCAACTGCTTAATTCATGTAGTAAAGTGTTTTCCACCTGAAGTGATTTATGCTGTGCTGTTATTGTATTTGTTGCTACAAATCCTTTTACTTTGAAGTCTATAAACAGCAGATCCACTGTTTGAGCGCTGAATGCCACAAAGATTAAGAAGAAGAAGAAATGGCATGTACCGTGTATAGTCTGTGCATGCACTGACAGATTACCTTTCCATAAAGCTCTGAGTGGACGCTGGGGATGATTTGTCAGCTCTTTTGGACGTCCTTAATGCTCGTCCGGGAACGACTGCTTTCGAAGCCGCCATTTGTTCCGCTGGTCTTGACAACTTTGTGACAGTTACAAGAAAATTTATATTTGCAAGGTTTTAAGGTCGTGAAACTTTAAAAGAGCGTTTATTTGACAGCTTTTTTACTTAAAGACCGTGAATATAACACCCGGGATCCAAAATGAACAGCTGACACTGTGTTAAATCCATGAGTAAGCTACATTAAATGACTTAATTCTCCTTGTGTGCTAACGAAATTCCGTGAAAGCGTCCGGTCACCTTGGTGACATCGGGTCCTTCAACGTCTTCCGGTGGGAAGAAGCACAAATGCCTTCAAAATAAAAGCAGAATATAGATAGATAGATAGATAGATAGATAGATAGATAGATAGATAGATAGATAGATAGATAGATAGATAGATAGATAGATAGATAGATAGATATCTGTAGCCATGACAGCCGTTCCTTCTTTCCTAAAGCAGCTGGATAGCTGCTACAACATTTGTTTTAGGTCAATTAAGTTTAAGTTAATTAAACTTGATCTGGTCATTTAAGTAGCAGAGGGGTTTTATAATCAGTTTTAACTGGTTAGCATTGATTACATTAACAGCAGATCCACTAGAGAGGCAACAATGAGACAACAAAACAAAACAGGACTAGTTTAACAGATGGAGGCCAATGACATTTTCACCTTCTTCATCCTTTTCTGACCTTTTTTTTTTTTTTTTTTTTTACCAGTTTTACATTTAGATAGAGTAGGTGTCCCTACTGGTACCTGGACCCTAAAGAAGTTGCACACATAGTCCTACTCCACCAAGATGGCACATCAACATGTTGGTTTGTTGTGTCTCCCAGCACAGTCTCAAGAGCATGGAGGAGATTATACTAGATAGACAGTTAGTCTAGGAGAGCTGTAGATCCTTGGAAGGTCCTTAGCCCATCAGCAGGGCCACAAGCTGTAAAAAGAATCCTATGCTGCCTCTAACATCATTCAGCATGGCTAGTTTGGTGCTGGTCTGGGGAGGCTTATCCATGGAAGGACACACAAAACTCTACCAGCTAGGCAACAACACCCTGGCTGCCATTAAGTACAGGGATGAAATCCTTGGGCCCATTTTGAGACCCTACACTGGTGCGGTGGATCCTGGGTTCCTCCTGGTGCACAGCAATGCCCCCCTTGATGTATGAAGGCAACTCCTGGAGCGTGAAGGAATTGATAGCATTGACTGGTCACAACGCTCCCCTGACCTAAATCCACTAGAATATCTCTGCTTAGGTCCAGCTACAAGCAGGTGGAGGTCATGCAAACTACTGAGTATAATTGTGATTTGCTGCAATGACATTTCACCAAAATGGATTAGCCTGCTGCATCATTTTCTTTTTCACTTTGATTTTTGGAGTGTCTTTGAATTCAGCTGTATTCAGGTTAATAAAGGAAATCAAGGCATTTAGCAGCATCAATCATCAGAATTTGATGAAAACATGGACAAGTAAAGCTTTCTGACATCTGGCTTCTTGCATTTTTGAAGCCAGAATCTGCACAGTGGCGATTAGAGATAGAGTAACTGTACAAAATTCCTGACCATGCACAAACTGTGCGTAACCACCAACATGATTCCAGCAGCCCAGCTACTCCAGTTAGGCTAGTTACATCCCTTCTGTTGATTTTACTAAATAACTTGCAAAAAAACAAACAAAGAAAACTGCTGCTACTATCAGCTTATTAATTTAAGGTAAATGCAACCATGATGACATATTCAAATAGGCACACATCTTAACATACTATAGTACAACATCAAATAATATTATGTAACTCTCACTGTTAATGTGTTAGCTAGATTAACAGTTAGCACCCACAATGTGTTAGAGAGTTGTTAGCGAGTTTACAGTTTTACACAAGTTTGGCTCTCATTTTCAACATGTTTGAATCGATAATTAGTCACCCTTTAGTTTTTGTTAGCCTCCCAGACCAAGAAATGCTATCAGCTGTACACACTCCACAGAGGCCCAGAGTTATTGTAGATTAAACAGTTTTACAACCATTACACATGTACAAAGAACTCTGCAGCCTGTAAACACTGAAATATAATAGAAAACTTTAAAATGTTATACGTAAAACATGTAAATGTAATCTGTTCTTCTCATTTAAAGCATGACCCAAAATCTACATTATTATCAATGACTACATTTACAGTGGGCAAAAATGTGTGAGGAGGAGACCATCAGGGCCAAGCTGGGTCTGGATTTCTGGATCCAGTGGTTTTTTTTAGAAATCTCCTCCTCTTCTTTCATCACAGTTGTCCTGTCCCAGATGTGCTGTTGATCCACTGAGGTAGATGTCTTTTTAGAAACATCAGGAGGACTGAAGCTTAACTCAGTAATAAAGGAGGACATTTAATCTTCACCAGCAATCTTCAACCCACTGTGCAAAATATATGGATTTATTGTTAACAGTGTTTTGATCAGCTGCCCTGGGCGTCTTCTATTAATGCTTCATTTTATATTTCTCAAAGGATGTAGAGCATACAGTCATTTAGTCTTTCATATAACTCTAATTCAGTGTGCTTTTTAACCTGAATATTTGAAATAAAAACTCTCACTTCCAAATCTAGACCTATAAAGAGCTGGTGAAAGTAAGAAATGTAGACATAAATTTTAGTTTCAGCTCATAAGTATTAAGCTTTGCCATTTTCTTTTGACATATTTCGCTGAGTAAAAGCAGCTGTAGTACTTCATAAATGCAATAAGACCTCACTGGAAAGTATCTAAAATACAACTAATGATATTTTAATATCTGAATACTGACTGACGGTGAAGTTGTATTTACATGCAAAGAAAGGATGGACTCTCCCTCTCAGACTGAGTTTATGAAACTTAAATTAGTTTTAATGTTTGCTACAAATGGGGGAAAACATCTCAGCCAGACAGCTGTGGTTAAACCCTGTTCACTTTAATTGTGTGTTAAACATCTGTGTTTTCAGTATTTAGGACACATTTCTGTGAATCACCATCAACAAACTGAGATATCAGGTAGAAACTAGAATTACAGGCAGTTTGTGAATGTGAACATTTCCAATCTTCTTAGTAATTCATCTTTGGTTAATGCTGTCTTAATGTTATCGAAGTGCTCTTTTTTTTAAAGGCAGCAGTGTTATTGCTTACTTAATTTATTGTACTGTTACTGTCCATCCAGATGTGGAAAGAAACAGAAACATGCTGCTGTTTGCAGATAGTTAATAATCAGCTCTAAACAGAGCTGAAGAAGAGTCCAGCCTGTTACTCTTACAGTAAATAATGAATGACTTTTCTCTGTTTCTCATATAAACCGTTTCAGTGCCTCATCTTTGGCAGCCTGCTGCATGAATTAACATCCTTCTGTTCGGTAAAGTCGGAGCAGCAGAACTAATGTCTGAACTACAGCGCTGACTTTTAATTAACATTCAAGCTCAACAGAGTGATTTCTTTAGTCGGGGTGAATTCATTCATGTGCACAGATTAGCCACCGAACACCGGCTTAGCTGACTCCTCGTCTTAGCTAGTTATATCTAATGATGCTAATTTACTAGTTAGCTTAAAATCACACATTTTACTCATAGAAAAAGTACAACAGTGCCTCTGATCACTTATGTTGGTTAGTTCAGTTTACTGCAGAATACAGCATGCTGTTAGCTTTAAACAGAGAGTCGTGGTTATGGGAAGTAAAGGTCGGATCTTCTCTCAGTCTTCATCTGCAATTCACAACAGAGATATGAGAGTTTCTCCTGACAGGAGCTGTCAATCAAAGACATCACCGTGATATCACAACCTAATTTTACAGCTTTGGGTGAGTAATTTGAAGCATAATCATGAGAAAAGTGACCACCCTTGAACCCAAATCAGCATGATGAGAACTACTCATCTTTGGGAAAACCTTTTTTTGTTTAGTTTGACAGCTCTGTGTTTGACAGCAAGTGTCTGGGGTCATCTGTTAAACACAGTGGAGGCTCTGTCATGGTTTAGGGCTACATTTCAACCATTGATGTTGGTGGTTTTTGCAATTATGAATGCAGAAAAGTACTTTCAAATATTCATCCATCATCCAATGCCATCTGGAAAGTGCCTGATTGTCAGCAGCTTCAACTTTCATCCTAAACACACTGGTAATGCAGTAAAAGCATACCTGGGTAGAAAAACACACAGGGGAACCTTATGAGTCATGGATTGGCCTCCCCAGATTCGGGACCTCAACATTATTGAAGCGGTGTGGAATCAACTTGACACAGAACACAACAAAAAGCAGCCAACGTCCAAATAAGAGCTTTGAGTGTCCTTCAAGAAGCCTGGAGAACTATTCCCGAAGACTACTTAAAGAAATGACAAGAAAGCTGCCTGGGTTCAGGCTGTGTTATAGAATAAAGGTGTTCATAACAAATATTGAATAGCAAACTCTGTTTTTGATTTATATGTTATATTCCAATGTATATTTGCATGTTTCAATAAATAGCTGGAAGGAACCCTGCCACACCGCAGGTATGAGACACAGTTCAGTGTTTGTGTGGTCAAGAATAGTGTTACGGTCTAACAAGCAACGTGCCACTGTGATCTGAGTCTTCTGTAACAGTTAATGGCTTTTAGCCAGAGTCCATGTTCAGGTTGTTTGAAAGCAGTTTAGGATTTCTGCAATGTTTGGAAAACAAGAATTACAATAAATGTGCATTTTTGTCTTATAACACAGCTTACCCAACTAATCTGCCCCAAAATATATTTTCCAACTTTCCAGTAACTGTTTCTCTCATTTATTAGGTAATTTAAATTAAGGTATATTGCATATTACAGAAATTAAGTTGACTTCTCCTTTATGATAGTGATGCTGCATCTACATTTTCTGAAGCAATGAGTTTGCACACTTAAGTAAAGCCTACTTGTAAGATTTTACCTTGTAGTTCCCACAGGGCCGTAAAGTAAACTGTTGATGCATGTAGATGTACAGAGTACATATTTACACATACTGCACAGATTTACTTTCATTTCCTGGGGGGTTGAACACATTTGACCTTTACCCCTAAACCACGATTCAAACTGCACTCCTAAAATTTCTTAGTTTACCTGAGAGAAAGCTACCTTTATCCTGCTATTGAGATTCCAGTCTCTACAGTGTGATTAATACAACTGTGGACACACACACCACACACACAAATTAATAGCTGTCACTGTAAGCTTTAGCAGGCACAGTACCGCCTGCTGTAACCTTTCCCTGGATTACCAATATAACTCCTCATCAGGGTGTTAGCTCAGCACTAGCAGGG